TATTACGGTTGCTGGAAGTCGTCGGATTCTCAGGCGACAAGGTGAATCTTGAAATTTTTTCCCTCGAAGTTTCTCCTATCATGTAAGTTTTAGGTGATAGGGATGCGAGAACTGCATCGATGCGCAGCTATGACAAATACCTTAATGGCAACTTTTAGTGCGATGTTGCTTCTTGCGTGGAACTTGATTGCTTGTTTCATGTGAGGTTTTGTAGCACTTTGAGCAACAGCACTGAATATCTAGTCTTCCAGGTTTGGAGCTGGTCAACCCGATCTAGCGCTATGCCACAGACTGATTACAGCTCTTATGAGCAAATACCCCAAGGTAGTGATAGCAGCCTCTTGGTGCAATAATGAATTTATATCTCAAGAAGATCGCACAATATAATTCCTGATGTTGTTATATAAAGGGGCCATTGTTTCATTTGGTTATTGAGGACTTGACGCTCAAAATAGTGCATCTGCAGCGATGACAACATTTGCGCGAAAACAAATGTATGCTTGTGAATGCCTTCCACTTGCCTGTGGAATGCGCGTAAGACGCTTATAAAGCAAATGTTACAATTCTTTATTCGCACCTTTCGCCGAAATTTCAAGGACACCATATTACCTGTCAAATACAATACCACCCTAAAAGAGCTTCTCTAACAATTATGAACTCTACCTATTTTAGGGTGCAATAGTTCTGTTTCTTCGTGCTCGGCTTTTACTGGTTTCTGGCGATATCGACTCTGCTATCTATTACTTCAATATGTCCATACAGTCCCAACAAGAATACAAGCAATTCCATCACGTCGCCTACTGGGAGTTGCTGTGAGTGCGCTGTTTTTTGATTTTTCTAGAGCATTAAAATCTGTTTCAGGTTTGCACATTGCTACTTGGGCCAATGGGCAAAATCGGCAAACTACGCCAAACTTCTCGTGAATGAATCTAGATGGTCCAGATGTGTCTACACATATCTGCTGTGCATTCTTTTCGCAGCCGACACTAGCTGTGAATCTTCTAAAAGGGATGAGACCGTAGCGGCACTTGCAAAGTGAGGAATTGTTACTTATTCTGCTTGAAATCAGCTTGCATAACTTAACAAATCTCACAGCAAACTGTATTTTGAGTCACTTGCAACAATACATCTGACAATTGGTAGATAGAAGCGTAAGAAAGTGTATGTTTTGAAATTTGAAAAAAAGGAAGATAATGAAATTGCGTGATGGGCTAATCTTGAGCACCTTGAAAGTGTACAATCGACCGCTCCCCTACCCTCATCTAGGAAAATAGATCACAAAGTCTGGCAGTGGTCTTTAATGGTTGAAAAGGGCAAGTGATTTGTTCCTTCTTGTTAGTCAGAACATTCTTGTTGAATATAAAAAAAGCATCGTTAGGAAATTTTGATTGCGGCTAACCATATTTTTACAGATTGATTCAATTAATTTCTTTTTATTGTTTATCTTTGAAGTCATAACTGCAGACGATATAGTCGTATTTTCGAAGAATCCAGATTTGCATATTTAGGAAGGTGGATGGGCTCCGACAGAGGATAGCCGGCAAATCCATTCCGGTGGAAAAATACTGTGCTAAGAAAGCAAACCGCTATGTAGCAAAAAAGTCACTGATGTTCGCACATTATGTGAGTTCTTGGCCAAAATATATTTCAAACTGTATTTGTTATTCTTCTTGTTTCCTTCACATCGCGGACTAGCGTAAATGACAAAATATACCAAAGCTGTCTAGGTGATTTTATAGGAATTCATGTACTTCTGGGGTGGATTTGAAATTGTTGCGAATAATTTACATGTGATGCAAGGAATCCTAGAAGATCTCGATGGCATCTGGTCAATGAGGAAGTCGGGTGGTGAGTTTCCTGGTGAGACCCACTGTACTACGGTGAATTTTCCAAAGTTTCCAGCGGACCCAGACGATCGCGCATTGTACTTTTTCCTCAAAGCTGTATGCTTACGAAATCTTCGACAACCTGCTGCAGCTGAACTTGCGCTACAGGAAGTGTTGAAACTGTAAGTAATGGTCTCACATTGAGAATATTCATGATATTTATGGTTTACAAAATTTCCAAACACATAAGAAAACTGCAGTAAAGTTCTAGTATCGAAATAAAAGCCTTTTAGAGCTGGAACTCCCTTAGTTGTCGACCGTGCACACTTTTCATGGTATGAAACCGTAATCGACAGTCTCTGAATCATCCTCAAAATTACATCCTTCGAGCTTTTTGAATGTTTGAGGCCAAATGCTATCAAAATGCTTCTCTTCGCAAATTCGACGTCCATTCAGTGGCCACCATGCTAGCTCTTTACAGTTCAAATCTGATCCCAGGTGTCAATTATTGCATTGAAAATTTCTAGAAAAGTGAATTTTCATTGCCTTCATTGCCTTGCTGGATGCTTTATGATTCTGTAGAGTATATTAGCTGACACATTAAGCAGACTACCACGTTAGTAAAATCCGCACCTCAAACTACTTTTGGAGTTCTTGCGCAACAAAATCGAGCACCATCGAATTAGAAAAAGTGTTATCTTTGCAAGAACTTTCCTTAAAAATAGTTTCGACCACTCCACTTATCATTTTTGTATTCTGATTTGCGATAATAAAAAGTTGAACAAATAACGAAAATAGCGAAACTAAAGAATAATCAATTTTGTCCCATTGCGATGAGTTGCACCGCATATTATTAAGTGTTTGCGGTGTGAGCGCTCAGGGTCGAAAATACGAATAATTTTTCCTGCGCAATTTTCTGTTGCAGCAGCAAAGAAATCTTTCTAGATCTAGTGTAA